ACTAATATCAGCCCACTAAGTTAAATAGAAAATTTGCCCAACTAAGGTAAACCGAAATTGGCCCAATTGCAACCCAACATTATTTGAAAACTCCAATTCTCTTCTGCCCATTCATTTTCCACTTTCTTCCCCATTTCTCCCATTTCTTCTCCGGCAACCCCATCAAAGCTCCTGCCTTTTTCCCATTTCCCGGTAAAGCCTTCACCTTTTCCGTCCTCCTTCCCGGTTTGTCCCTTAACGTCGGCAGCTCCTCCAGTTGTGTCTATGACAAGTGTTTATGTAAAGAAGGTGATGTTGTCTCCTTTGCTCCTCTATATAAAAGGGGCATCAGATTAGAATCGAAAATCACACCAAAATAAGCAAAGTCTTAGCTATAGAGTGAGGAAGAAAAACCGAGAGTAATCTTGCTGAAGATAGGTCGAGATCAACTTCTGGAGTTTCATATTCAAAATTCTTAAAGGAGGTTAGATGCTAATTTTTTTATCATGTGTTGTAGTTGAGATTAAGTGTATAATGATGTATTTACATGTCATATATATTAAATTTTAAGAAAAATTTAAGCATGAAAAATGATAAGTTATCTCCAGCTCAATTCCATGTTATATATGTCCTGTTTTGATTTAAATTTTAACATGATATGAATAACTTGGGATAGTATACTTCATATGGTTATTTCTTGTGTAAATGATGATTATATAGGAACAAGAATTAGGTCATTTGGTTAAGTATAGCTTGAATAAATTATTTTTAAAATTTATCATGTAAATTAAATTTTTATACCAAGTTTCAGCTGCTTATTTTAAACTCGAATAAGTCAACTTATATGCATGAGAAAAATGTAAAATTTTAACTACATGTATACCTATATGTTAAGAGTTTACATGTTAAATTTCAGAATTTTATGCTGAGAAATGAAGGAGTTAAAAATGCTAAAATCCATGCCTATTAGGCTGATTTTACATTCAATAGAACTCACTCCACATTCAAGCTTTTAATGTGAAACTTTTATCAATATTTCTTGTATGAGTATTTGTCAAGATGACCAAGTTTAAACTTGATATAATAAGTAGGTCAATTTTTAAAATTATTTGAAGTTAGGCGTAAAATTAGCATAATTATATATTAATTTTAACACTTGAGCTGTTTGAGCTATTGAAGTGCTTTTGATCTAAAATTTTATAAGAGAATATATAAATATATCTACTATTTAACTACCAAGTTTAATAATTTTTAGAGATATATGGGATTTTTAAGAAAAATATACTTAGATATATTTGTTTGTATATGTGGTAGTTGTGGAGAGTCGAGCCTCCAACAGCTACATTAGTTATTCAGCACTTGCAAAATCTTTTCAACATATCAGGTGGGGGACCTGCACTGGGTATTATATTGCTTATAATTTTGTACCATGTATGAGGTATGTATGTAGATATTTACCCGAACGATGAAGTTTATTCCATTCGTGGTCCAATTAAGATAAGTTTGTCGCCCAGTCAAGACTGGGTTCTGTGGGAGGCGATCCCCAGAATGTGTTCACATGATAATCGGGACAGTTTCCGAATGTTTCACCAGTACAGTAAACTTTTATTTATGTATATACTTAATTCATGATATGGGATTATATGTGCTGTTTATTCAGTATTGGTTTTTACGGAGCATAGTGGTTTTGCTCATGCCCCCATTATGTTTTTCAGGTGATGGAGTTCAGCATGAAGCGTGAGCCGAGCAGTGGTGTGGTGATGTCAGAATAAAGCTGGACAATTATTATATTTATGTTTATGTTGGTTTGTATTAAAATATTTATGACTATATTTTATTTATGTCTCCGTACTGATAAACCAGAACATTAAGTATGTATGTATAATTATTCCTTATCTATATTCTCCAGTTAGATTTTATATGTTGATATATTCATGAGTAAAAGAAAGAAAAAGTAAGAAGTCATGTTAGTAAGTAAGTAATATCCCGCAAGTTAAGTTGCAATATTTTCGAAAACAGTACCTCTATCTTTCGAAGATAACCACGAAAATTTTAATCAGAAAAGTTAGATAAGGCGGGATGTTACAACGCGGGCGTGCGCTGCACGTGGCCTATGCGTACGCGGACTAGGGCGCACGTGCTTCTCGCGCTCGGGAGTGGGTTGCGAAGAACACGGGCGGTGGCGATGCACGAGCAGGAAGGCAGGGCTGTAGGCTCGCGCGGGCGTTGCTGGCCGTTGTCGCTGGAACTAGTGTCGGCGTCTGGCTGTGTACGGATGGGCGCTGGTGGTCACCAGCGGCGGTCGAGGGCAGTGGACGACGGTTGTAGGTGGTCGGATTGTCACAATTAAAAGGCTTGAATAAATTGTACCTTAAAGCCTTCTAATCTATTACCTAAACATCTACTTCGACTAATCTTGGTGGTGTGATTAATAGAATCTCTCGAACTCTCGAATATATAACGATGCTCGATTTTCCTCTCTTCGAAGAACTCAAAGTAGTGCCTCTCAATCGTGTAGGGGATGAGGTTGGGACATGGTGTATTTATAGGCTACATTAGGGACCTTAAGGAGGTGCTAAATATGGGCTTATCCTATTAAGTTTAGGAATCCTAATTATGTTCCATATCCTATCCATCTAGGAGTCTTATTCTTCCTAACTCTAATCACCCTTCTAGAAGAATCCAAAGTCTCCTAACCCTAGGGTAATAATCTAGAAGGAATATTCCTCTCTTAATGGAATCTAAATTTTAGAATATAATTAATTCCTAATTCCTAAATAGAATTGAATAATAACATATCCTACTAGAGTAATATTGTTGCTCTCCTTATTTAGCTCCAATTTATTCAATAAATTCAAACCTCCATTTGATTAATTAATATTAATCTAATTGATCGATTTATCTCCCTATGTTTATGATATAACGTCTGTCGATTAATTTAATTACTGATAATAAAATTAAATCGATTACTTATCATTTCCAAAACTAGTACCGCTCAGTTCATTAATCATTATGTCGGATAATTATCCACTTGCAGGGTTTGACGTAATATTTGTTCCTGAGCTCATTTTTGGGACGTCATCAACCCAGCGCACTGGGACATAGTGACTGTAAATAATTTATAACAACACCTCATATAAACACTCTCATTTACCAAAGTACCGAGTATGTCATCATAAAAGAAGAGGAATCACCCTTGGTAAATCAAATAAACAAGTAATGAATATATATATATATATGCCCGTTTTATATTATCTTACAGCTTAAGAGTACACATCAATTATTGAAGGTCTAGATTATAACAACGATCAGTAAATCTTATAATCCGATCCTCCTGCAGTCCGTTCAATACTTATCATAAGTACTAATGTAACCCATCAGTCAGAGATCAACTGAATCAAGACTACACTACAGTTTTTTTTCCAACAGGGGTCTCACTGCCTGTCTAGACTGTGAACAATTTTATATTTTACAAGGAACCAATAATATGATCTTTCTGTTCGACACGACGAACCATACTATCTACAATGTAAAATATGGAGTTATGATTGCATAAATAAATAAATTACAAACATAAATACTTTGACTAAAACACGATTGCCAGATCAAAGTTGTATTGTTTATATCTGAAAGCCAAGCTTTTACAGCATATCTAACATACGGTTTTGAGAAGTGGCAAGAAGGTGGATAATTACGTGGAGATGAACGATGAAAACAAGGTGGAGGTGACTATTGAGAATGAGGTTGATGAAGAACCGAGCGAGGGAGTTGAAGTCTCGAAGGGCAAAGCCATAATTGATGAGGAAAACGAGAAGGAGAACTAAGGTGAATGTAAATCTTCCACTACTAGACGGAGTATGTACAATTCTTTAAAGATCTAGCATCGAAAAAGAGGGGATTCGAGGACAATGAGAATGTCATGATTTCCGAGGTAGCCTCTACTGCTATACCTCGGAAAGGCGACGATCGGGATGTTTGATTTGGGGGGCGGCATTAATGCCTTATTCAATCTACAAGCAATTAGGATTGCAAAGGACTCAAGCCTACACGAATGTGCCTACAACTAGCGGACCGTAGATTGAGGGAAGCAATTGGGATTGCAAAGGACTGAAGCCTGCACGAATGTGCCTACAACTAGCGGACCGTAGATTGGGGGAACCGAAGGCCATTATTAAAGATGTATTGGTCAAAGTTGGGTCTATTGTTGTGCCGGTGAATTTCGTGGTCCTTCACGTAGGAGATGTCCCGAATACTGGGAATGAGCACACGATCTTGCTTGGGCGATCTTTCATGGCGACGACCAACACACTCATTAATCTCAAGGATGGTCGAGTCACTCTTTCGGGGCATGGGGAGACGGTCACGTTTACGATGAACAATGCCCGAGAAGCTCCACCCAAAGTTATCCAATGCTAGTTTATAGACGACATCGACAAAGAGGTACATTTTCGACTCTCATGCTAAATTTCTTAATTGCAACCGTGCCATTGAAAAGAATGAGGAGTTGGAGTCGGGAAAGAATGGAAATGATGACTTTAAGATAAAATTGAAGGATTGGAAAAAGAATGATGATGTTGAAGTTGGGAATGAGTTATAACCGAGCAAGAAAGGGCTTAGAAAAAGTCTAATGGTGAAACTGCAAAATCAAGAGGTGCCTCATCGGGTGCAAAAGATTATGCGAGTTCCAGCTCTTGGAAATTTAAGAAACGGGAGGTGCCTCCCGAGAATGATGGTGATTTGATGAAGAAACCGCCTTTGAGAAGCAAGTGGGCAACCTTATACTTTGATGAGAGTGAGACGGAGGTTGGAGGATGAGGAGCTCGTCAAACCGAGCCTAGTTGACTATGAATTAACGAATATGTCGAGCTCGCAACGTTAAACCGATCACTGCGTGGGAGGCAACTCAAGTTTTTATTGCTTTCGTTGTTTTCCTCTTTGTACATAAGAAGAAAAAATTTAGTTCATTTGGTCGAAAACCGTGCACAATGGTTCGGGCCGATTTGGAAAAAAAGGCTAAAAATATGCCTATGTATGCCCAAGGACTAAGAGCAGATCGGGACCTCATCAGTATGCTCGCGATCTCGCCAGCACGCCCACGTGTCGCGCGCCAAGTTCTGCAGCCCACTGCCTGCGCCGCGAAGGATCCCGTGAGTCGTGCCCCAGGCTCGCGACCCAATGAGCACATCCGCGACCCGGCGAGTGCCCAGGTGCGAGCAGGCGCCAGTCATCTTCCCCGGTGAGGCCAGGCCACCGTGCGCCGCCACCCGCTGCCGCACGGCTCTAGCCAACCACCTCCGATCCTGATAATTTTTACATCGACGTGTAGATCTCCTCGGCGCCGACCACATATCCGATTTTCATGTAAAAATTCCGGCGAGAAGACCTCCGATTTTCCGGTCAAAGATTATAAATCTACAAATCTCACCGGTCTTCTTTTTCAAATTCCCTGCGACTCACGGGGTCCCACAAAAATCCGAAGACACCTCTAAAATCCTCTCCCGCGCCGAGACGCTCCAGATTCTAGCCACCTTCGTCAAATACGGTGAACTTTTTCGACGAGCTATTTTCTGGTCCAAACTCACTCACTGAGCCCCCGGTTCGCTGTTTTTTCGCCATTTTCTTAGCAAACCTTCATGGATTCTTTATGGGAGGTACGTTTTCCTGCAATCGAAGCTCCAAGCCATGCTTATCTCTCTTTTCCCACATTCCGGCACCGTATTTTCCGGTGAGCTTTAAAGTATCATGTCCCTTTTGATTTTTCTTGATTATTGGTTGCTTGGGATGATGTGGATGCTACTCTTGCCGGAGTAGTGGTCTTTGTAGTGCCCCATTCGTTTTAGATGAGTCAGCGTATTTGACGATTTTCGACTTGTTTATATTTTAAGTTATTTTGTTCGGCGAAAATTCTCGTTTTAGCTCAGGTGGATTAGTTTTAGATATCCTCGTCATAGTGATCTTTCATGTCGATAGATTTCATAGGCATGATCGTACACTTGTGTTATTTCCGAATCTCGAGCTTTCGGTTAAGTTGTTTCGATTAGTTGGATAACTCCATCTAATTAATTCGATACGTTGGTTTTATACATTATTATTGTCGTTGGTAAATCGTTCGCCCGTCGTTGCCCGATTTAAGTTCGTTCGTCGACTTTCGATTAGTTCGTTCGTGCATGTGTTGTTCAAATATTATATTCCTCATCAATCATCATCGTTCGCCTGTCGCCGTTCGATTTATGCATCTCGTCGAATCAACTGAATGTTCATGGTTCAATCGCGTAGTATTACTTTTTTATTCGTTTCATGATTTCTCGAAGCCTAAGTCCCCGGCCCAATCTCTTTCATTATTTCGGCCCACGCACTTAACAAGAACCGGCCCAAGGACTTGACATGTCCGCCCAACACTGAGGTTTTGGCACCACTTTTCAAATCAATTTTCAAACTTTCAAGTGGCTTAATTTGGTATGTGGCCTATTAGCTTTATCCTTCCCCTTTGACCGGCTATTTGCATCGTTATGGTGTCTTAACGGCCTTATATTTTTGGCATGATTATGTTCTCATTAGTCACCCTTAATGCTCAATCTTATTTTTTAAATATGGGTGTGAATATTATCTTTAATTTCTTTGGTTTATCTCAATTATCTCACCCCCATTTCTTTTTCTCCAATTTCCTCACGGCATTAGCCCCTTCTTGCCTTAAGAGATATTCTGAAGATAAAAGCTCTCTCCTCTACCTTTTGTGCTGAAGATAATCTCTCAAAAACTCTCAAGTTTTGGAAACAAGGACAATCAAGAAAAAATGTAGCGCCCCGTTTATTTGTTGATTATTTGGGAATTATTATTATTATTATTATTATTATTGATATTTATTATTATTGTGATATTATTGATGTTATTATTAAATGTCTAAATATTATTGTTTGCCAAATTGAAATTAATTGTCTAATTGTATATTTTCGATTATTAATATTATTATTTTAAAAGTGTGTAATATATTATCTGAGTTGTATTTAATTAATCGTGCGATTAAAATCGGGCCCGAGAACTGAATTATTATCCCAAACATGCAGCCGAACCGGTTTTCGCCCGTCATTTGAACCGACCCGCCAAGACTTGCTCCAATTCGTGTGTTTGGGTGCGTTGAATTTTGTCTTGTGAATCAAGAAATTATTGACCTAATATGAACCCGCAGCTTTTCTCCTCCAAATCTGAAATAGCGCCTTCATCTTTCTTCTCTCGCACTTTTCGTTTTTCTGTTTTTTCCGTCGTCCCCATCTCATCACCATCATCGACGACCTCCCCTCTCTTCTCTGTCTGTTCGTGGGACGCCTCAGTCGCGCACCATCCCGTCGTCATCACCTCTTCTCGACGGGATATACCAGTCGCCGGCAAACAGCAACCCGCGCAATGAATTTCCAGCGACCTCTGTTCGAGAAGTTCCGACGAGTTATGTTCTTCCTTCGAGCAGTCCACGAGCCCCGACGTCGAAACCCTCTCTGTCCGTGATCCTTGTCGCGTCCCTGCAACTCAGGTGAGCCGTCGCGAGTTCCCGTTCACGAACAACCTCCACGCGCAGCTTTCCGGCGATCCTCCGTTCGAACAGCATCTCGACGAGCAACCTCTGACTGTGACCAGCAGCAGCGACGAACCATTCTCCGCCGCAGTCCTCCTTCGCGAGTCGAGTGAAGCCGCCGAGCACCGCCGCTAGCCACTGCGAGCTCGCCCTCCTCTTTTCGTTCTGTTTTTCCGAGCTTTTACCGAGAACAGTACCTAGTCGAATCCCGTCTTGTTAAATAGTGAATATTTGTTTGCATTATATGTTTGATTTACGAGATGTGCTGCTTTTCGTTATAATGTATATGATATGATATTTCGTGAAAATGTGATTTTATGTGTTGTTTGTGTTTTCAGGATCTCTCGTGTAAGGCTGTGGATATTGGAACAATGTCGAGTCCTTGGTCTTTTGGGAAGGCCTCGGACGAGAATTATATGTTATGTTATATGTGTGAAAATTGTCGAACTCGATTATCGCTGTTTTAGTGTTTAAATTATTAAAAATCGCACACTGTTCGGATTGCCTTGAAATTTGGAGGGTCATGCCTTCTGCTAATTACCAGGCTTGTGTAAAAAATGTAATTTTTAAAGGCTTCTAGCTATTTTTAATAAGTAAAGTGATTTCTGATTAGAATCATGTTAAATGCTTAATAAATTGATTCGTACTTCAAGTGTGCTGCAATTTGAGTATGTTATGCCTCTGTTACGTTTATATTCTGTGTTAAATTTTTATAATTTTTGGGCTAAGTTTGATATGGTTAATAATTTTTTTGTTGAATCTGCAGAAAGTTGTTTTATTTATGATAAATCGGTTAGTTGTTGAAAAATTCTGAAACTTGGCTGGAGTACTTGTTTTATGTGTAATTTCATGCTGTAAAAAGATTAGAATTTTTGAAGTTCAAATTGGTTCTGTTTTAATTAAAATTCGATAAGTGCTGAAACTTGTATGAATTTTTAAAATTCGTACAGTTAATGTCCAGGGCTGAAACTTTTATATGGTGTCACTATCATGCTATAGTTTGTGTTTTTAAAATATCACGTCATGATTCGTTCATTAGGTTTAGATGTAAATTCATGTTCGATTTTGCTGTTATCTTGTATGAATTTTATAAAATAATGTACTTTGAATTTGAGGCTGAAACTTGGTGGTTTTTCTAATTACTAAAAGGTATAATTTTGGTTAAAATTTCACAGTTTAATTCATAGGGAAACCTGACCAACTAGTTTCATGTGTTTATTGGTTATTATTTTCAAAATACTATTTTTATGTTAAAATCTGTAATCGACTTTCTTTTCCTTTTGTTGGGTGTTTGACTTGGTCAATCCTTAGTGGGATTTATGTGAACTCCCATATGTGGTTTGGTCGAGTATAGTGCCGAGTCTAAGTGTTCCAACGTCCACAGGACTTCACGAACAACTTAGTCGAATCAAGTTCGACTAAGTCCGATTTGTGTTTTCCGTGTAAGTCAAGATATTGATTGTAGGATCTTGTCATAATGTAGGTGTTTGAGGAGTCAAGCCTCGACCCACGTCTTTTTCTGAATTTGCTATCGTCAAACCGAATTACCAGGTGGGTTAGTTATTCTAAAATACCTGCGCAATGTGTGTTTAAATATGTTTTCTGATTTGGCGTGATCTATGTATGAATGTGAATATGTAGCCTATCGATGTGAGCTATTATGTGGCCGTCGGTACGGTTGTCCCCGTCGATGTAATACGGTTGCCCGTTGCGAGGCAAGTCTCCTTAAGACCAAATAAAAGGTCGTGTCCTTGCGTGGCACGTACTCTCGCCGTTAGGGTAATGAATCCCCTTTCCGCGACTAATGAAAAATGTGTACACAGGAGTATTTATGTTTATGTTATGCTGGAGATGAGACATATGTGATTAGAGCTGTCAAAACAGCCCGCGGCCCGCGGGCCGACCCGCCCCGCCCTGCAAAAGTGGCGGGTTGGGCTTTGATTTTCCAGGCCCGCTAGGGAGCGGGCCTACGCAGGCTGGCACGCGCGGGCTGCGGGCTGAGGTGGGGCGGGGCGGGCTAACCCGTAGGCCAGCCCGCCTAATTAAAAAAATATGCTAAGAATTAGAATACAGATCTTGCGCCCCCATCCAAATTCACAAACCCACGCCGTCCGTCTTCAGAAATTCACAAACCCCCATTGCCATTCCTTCATAAATTCACAAACCCTCATCCCGTCGATCATCGTTCCTCAGTTACCACACAGTCCCGCCATCGCTGGTGTCTCACCACGCGGCCTCGTCGTCGCCGCTCACGGAGGACCATCAATGCTCACTCCTTTGCCGGTTCATGTAGCCTCGCCAACCGCCGTCGCCTTATCCCGTCATCACTCATCCGGTCTCAATCTCAGTCAGTACTCAGTACCTCTTCTCAATCTCATTCTAAAGTGTTTTTTTAGCTTGTTTACTTTTAGGTCGTGTGACTAAGTCTGTAAATCGTAAACACAATTTTCTTTTCGTTTCCTTTTTTTTAATCTAGTGGCCCAGCCTGTAAGTTGTAACTTGTAACATACAATTTCTTTTTTCTGTTTTTTTGTTTTTATCTAATGGCCCAGCCCAAAGAAGCCTAGTTTAAAAATAAAATAAAAAAAAAAACAAAAAAGCAGGACTGGACCACGTATTCATTAACAATAATTTAATTTAAACCAACGGCCCAACACTAAATAAAAAAATAGCCCAAGTGATAAAAAAAAAAAAATTGGCGGGCTGGCCCGCCAAGCCCGCAGCCCGCAGAGGGGGCGGGTTGGGCCAGCCTTTTTCAAGCCCGCCAAGATGGCGAGCCCGCCCTGCCCCGCCGGCCCGTTTTGACAGCCCTATATGTGATATTGTTTATGTTAATGCTGCGACCATGCCTACTTAACATATTATGAATTGTGCATTGCATAGTGTGAGCATTATTTTCCTCTTATGCTCACTCCTACATGCTCTTAACGGATGCAGGTTAAGCGGTGGCGCGTGACGAGACAGGACAAGTGGTGGTCATGCCTATTTATTATGCTTATTTAATTGCTTCCGCTATTTCATGAACTTATATTGGTTTATTGAACATGTTGGATTGGATTTGAAACTTGTTTATTTTGGAACATTTAGATTTGGTTTATGTTGAAAAACCTTTCTTGATATGTGGTTGAGAATATCTTGATGTTTATGTTTATTGTTTATGTGGTTAAAGAAAACCGTTGGAAAAACGGGTAAGAAATCCCCGTAGTTCAGATATGATTTGAACTGTGTTTTGATAAAAATGAGTAACGCCAAAAAGTTCATGATTCGAAAAATGAATTTCGAAAATTTTTACATTGATTTTTGGAAAAGCCATGTATTTTCTTTAAAATCGATTGGGGCATTACAAAAAATTTCTAAATTTCTCCCCTCTCCCTCTCACGGCCTTATCATTTCAATCAATCATCAAGTAAACTCAACAAAGATTAAGGGTTAGCGTTCAATCGATCGTTGATCTAATGCCGTCGGGAAGTCAACTTTAGTCATCTCCCAAAAACTCTCAATAATCGCACCAGCAGCAGGCCGAGAAGCCGAGAAGTCGAGATGCCAAGACCAGCCACGGGCCGTTCCCCGATTGGCCACCAATTTCGGGACTTGACGGCCACGCCGTCGTTAGACAGATCCTAGAGGTGCTCGATTTCCCGCAGACACTCAGCCGGGCCCCGTTAGCTGCTGATTACTTCAAGCCGAGCTCAACGGCTTTCGCAGGCCGCCAACACCGTCAGTTCATCCAACCCTCCGCCCGCAAGCCTCCGATCAACCGCTTCCGAGCACTGCCGGCGACACCAACGCCGAGAGCACAGCCGAGGAGGAGCACGCCGCCGAGAAATCCCCACCGCGAGGCCAAACCGCAGCGGCCCATCGTGAGTGCCAGCCCTCCGCCACCCGCTTTAACCGTCGGCATCGATTCCCCGTCTGACGGCCAGCCACGCAAGGTTCGATCACCCGCTGAGTTGGACCTCCGACGCCGCCGAGTCCACATCCGACGATCAACCACGATGATTCCGGCCGTTCTTTGAGTTGCCGCTGCCAAATTTTGAGGTCCAGGCGCCGCTCGGACTTCAACCGGATAAGGAGAATCGGTGTGGACGAAGAAAGGAAATTAATTCGTGAATTGGAAATTGTTTATGCGTAGAATAAAGTAAGAAGAGAAATTGAGGAAGAATTGGGGATCTGATGTTGAGAAAGAAGAAGAGATGGGGGAAAGAGAAGAAGAAAAATGACGGGGAAAAGAATGAGGAAAGAGAAAGAGGAGAGGAAAAAAAAATTGAAAAGAAAATGGATTTTTGGGCTTTAATTTTGAAATTAGGCTTTCGAATTAAGGCTTGGGCTTTGAACAAATTGGGCCAAGATATTGTGCTGAAAATAAAAAGGATAAATTGATGATGCAAAGTCTGGGCCGAGGCAAGGCCATCCAAATAGGAGCTTCAAACCGACTACCGGACTTTTATCCGACCCGTGCATCATTGCTTGTAGATTCCCGAAGTGCGGTAAATCTCGAAACCCTCTTTTAAATCGAACGTTTGGAGCCTGTAGTGGGAACTTCGTTGATTTTTCCGAGTACATGAGATAATTTTATTTATATAAATTATATTGCTTAATTTTAGGTTTTTTAGGAGTCGAGCTCTCGAACCTACTGCATTCATTACTTTTTTCCTTTTCGTCTATCCGAACCAGGTGGGTTTTATTTAAATATCTATGCCGTAAATTATTTGTCTGCTGGACGGTATGATTAATGTATGTGTGTGAACCATGTAGCTTGTCGATGTGTGATGTTTCGGCCGTTGATACGATTATCCCCGTTGATGTATAACGGTGCCTAATGAAAGGCAATCTCCCTAAGACCTAGTGACAGAAAGTGTCGTTGTAAGACCCATGGCGAGGCCTTCAACATGTACTCCCACTGTCGGGTAATAAATCCCCTTCAGTGGCTAATGATAGGTGTGCACAAGAGTCATTTAGTCGGATAATGATATGTTATAGACCAACGTTCATGAACTTAGGTTAACGGCGTATAATAGTTAATTAGTCGGGTATATTCTGGGGGCTTGAAATAAGAGTCGATTAGTCGGGTCTACCTTGGGGCTTGAAGTCGGGTTGTATCAGTACATGGTTATTATTATGATTAGGATATGGTTATTTGATTGATTTATGTTCATGCTGCGACCATACCCTTCTATCATTATATATATGGTTTATGTGCATAGCGGTGAGCACCACGGATTCCATATTGTGCTCATGCCCACTTTTCTTCCCAGGTTGAGCAGGGGGCAGGCATGACAACGAGGGGACGAGTGGCTGGTCCTTTGCTTATGTTTATTTGCTTCAGCCATTTCTTTCTATGAACATGTTAATTTGGTCTTATGAACCTGTTGCTTTGTTTTCTTAGACATGTTAAATTGCTTTCAAACTTGTGTTATGAAAATGTTGGGATTCTGGATCGTTTTAAAACCCTATGATTTGGTTCGTTTCGTTTTGAAACATGTTGATTTGGATATTCATGTTTATGTGCTTCTTGAATATCATGTTGAATTTGGTTATTCATGCTGACAAAATTTCTATGGAGCCATCGGATGGTTTTTTTATGGATCCATCCACCACTTAATATATCGACACATGTCCAAACTGTATTTTATTGCAGGACACGTGTCAATACACTATTGGTGAATAAGTGTAGATGGCTCCATAAGCCGAGCCATCCGATGGCTCCATAGAAAAACTGGTCATGCTGATGTGCTATGGTGAATATTATGTTGAATGTCATGTATCGGGATAATGAAATTCATGTGAATAATCGGGTAATGAATCTCTGTGAGATCAGATATGACTTGAAATATGATAATGCCCATGTGAAAAGTTGATTTCGAAAATGTTATCTTGATTTTTCTGAAAGTCCGGAATTTCTTTAAAATCAAAGTGGGGCATTACAGTCTTGGTTGGTCGAATTGATTGTTTGAGGTGCTTCGTCGATTGTGTTGGGCACGTCTTCCCGAACATGCCAGTTTCTTGATGAAAATGGTTACCGGAGTTGCCCGAGGTTTCGAAAGTTTGTGAAGGGAAGTGACGGATATTGTTTACCGAGGAGACCGCCGTCGATTTATGGAGTTGGCCGCGTCAAGGCTTATGTGGAGTATCATGACGGACTCGAGGCCCGATTTTTGTGCGTGTGTGCCCGATTTAAAATTAGTTAATATATTGTATCGATTATCTATAGAGGCCATGCAATAAATATACATGATAGTGTAAGCATTCACGCCTATTTTTTTCTTGACATCTTTTGACGATTGTCCAAGATATAAACAAAGTAGATACCAAATTATTTAGATAATCATATGTTGTACTCGTTGAAAACATGGACATTCATTTATGTATATAATTTTCTTGGCATCTTTAATAATTTGTCTTCATAGTAAGAGTTATTTCTTCAACATTTTGAATTACCATAATATATTCATACTAAACATGATATTTAATTTCATGAATGTAAATTTCAAATTAAAAATAAGAGGTTAAAATATGTATAAATTAATATTCTTAGAGAAAAAAATTTAAAATATGTAAAAATAATTAGTCATACTTTGAGAGTATATATATGCATATAATTTGAATATACTATAAAATAAAAAGTAATTTAAAATAAGAATCTATCCTAAAACGACAGTGTTTTATGAATGAAGACTATAACAACAATTTTAGTTTTTAGTCAAGTATTCTGAACGATTGTCTGGATTGACTATTGCCATTTTCTTTTACTAGGTTGATAAAATTACTAGAAATAACATTACATGATAGTTATTCCATAGTTAAATTTTGTTCATTTGTTATTTTTGGAGAAGAAAATTATCATTTTA